CCAGTTTTATCAGCAAGTCCCTGAAGTGAGAGTAAACAGAAGAGGCGAAGGAAAGGGTTTATGGAGAACAGGTTAATGAAGGCTAAGATAACCGTGCAGCTGAAAGATGAAAAGGCAGACGAGATGAGACAAGGGGAAAACGGATTAGCTGTGTGATCAGTGGGCAGTGTGTTGTGTGTGTTAGTCACCCTGCTTTAGACGTAAGGCTCTTGTTTAAGGCTGGGGTGATTCGTCGATGTAATCGATTATGTAAATACATTGACGCGCATTACGTGCGTCGACGCGTCGCTGCATCAGGTGTGGGATTATCCTGGACAAGTTCCAGCTACAAGACCGCGCCTTCGACCGTCTAAAATTTGGAGTATTTCAGACAGACACTCAATAACGTGCTGCTCCGTCAGCTCTGTGAACTGGAAATAGCTTCACTGCAGCACAGCTGCTGTCCACGAATACGTGAAGCAGCACGAACACATGAAACTTTGTCTAGACGGCAGCACCGCAAATCGTGTTTACATTCTGTCGCCACACAAGCACGGCACATTATCAGCAAAAGGACACGTAGTATTTCTTCATTGCCATGCCATGTTAAAAGTAATTTCTGCCCTCTGCTGCCATGGTAACGTAACGTTACACCGCGAGTCATGTATCGGCTGTTTCATATTTTCTGTTTATTTAACGGCCACGTATGAGCGAGAAAACAGACAATCTGTGACTGTACAGTCTGTGAGTCCTTTCAGGTGTGCACTGATGCAGAAATACATTTTATTATCATACTGCATTACTTACTATTGAAATGAATCCGTGTCAGAAACATTTAAAGTTTTAAGTAAAGTAGCCTAACACATCAGTGACGGGGAAATTTTATTCATTTTAAGATTTGCTGCTATATAGATTTATTGATTAGACATGTTTTTGATATTTAATTTGGATAAATTGGTATGTATCGAGTAATAGGCAACTTTTCTTTCTTTAGAATAAACAAAATTAGTCGAAAAAATAAACGTTAGATTAATCGACTTGAAAAATAATCGATATGTACAGCCCTACTCTTGTTACTAGCGCCAAGTGAAGGCCGCCTCTCTCACTCACAGTCAATTGTCGGCAATTCAGTGTCTCTGAAAGAGCAAGGACGTAGGAGCAATTTCAGAACATCCACCTCTGGCGACAGTGGCTAAATAAATAAATGCTAAATGCTTTCGCTTGCAGACATTGCACACACACACAATTGAGATTGGTATGTGAATGTTGCCTGGAATGCAGAAAAATATTTCATAGTGAATGTGTTCTGACTCAGAATTCTTGAGCTCATGCGGTTAAGTTGTCAGGGAAAATAATTCCTTCCCAAAGAATACGGAGTCAAATAAATGTGGAGATTTCTTTTGTAACGTGGCCATGGAGAGAACGCACGGTTACTCTCCCGAACTCAGCATTTCCTCTCCTTAAATACAGAACAAGTACAAAAAACAACAGCTAACAAATGGTAGAAGAAGGAAAACAAATGGCAGAGTATTAGCATACACAAAAAAACCTCTTCCTGAGCTGAGAAAGGAAATGCAAATGTATAAGGCATCAAAGATGTTTCTCTGTCTCTTGACTGGTCTATGTTAAAACTCTCACCTACATGCCAGCAGACGTTTATGGTAAATCAGCCTTTGATTAGAAACCAATGCTAATTTCTCACAAGTTAGTTATAGTGAAATTCGAAAAATGAGCAACTTATAATGTATTTCTCACATTTCCTCCTCCGTGTCAACAAAATATTGCTGAGAAATCAAAATGGTAGGATTCACTGTAAAACTGTCTTAGTGGGAATACAAAAATTGAGAACATTAGATGTTTGATGAATAGTTAAAACAATGAATTAGAAACAATTAGAAAAAAGAAAACAATAAAAAATATGAAGGACTAGATTTCTAAACACTTAATACAGTGTTAAAATAGCCTACATGCTAAGTCATAATACTGTAGGGGCCAGAATTGGTCATTTACCCATTTGTTGGAAAGAAAACATAGAAACTAAAATGATACAATATGTATAAGAAAACCTGCATACAATCATAACAATAACACTAAAAAGAAATGAACAATCAAAAACAATAATTAAAAACATGGAAAAATAAACAAAACAAATCTACCAACAGATCATCTTTGTAGTTAAAAAAAACAGGAATACTCCCGAAAACATAGTCATTGTCTTTCCCTTGATTACATGGTTTATTTGTGGTTATTGTGGATCCCTCTTCTTCTGTCCTCTTCCTCCTGCGTTGGTAACATGCCAATGTCACATCTCCCCTTTGCATCCTCTTCTTGCATCTTCAGTGGTTATGAAGATGCTTTCTTGTGTGAAACAGTCCGTGTAGAAGATCAGTGTAAATGATATCAGTTTGACTGGTGAGTGCAAATGAATCTGTGAGTGCTGCGGTTTTATGAGTACTATTGGATTCTGTTTGTTGAAAACTCCTAGACTCTAGGGAACGTCTGTCATCTGGTTGAGCTGGTGTTGGAGTACCCTAACTGTGCTGATCAGGACGGCGGTGAGAACTGCAGCCAATGTTCCTTAGCAGCCATTGTCTATGTGTTGTTGGAGGGGATCCTCACTGTGGAAACACTTTGCACTGTGATGCATGGACCCACGTGTCCCTCTCAGCTACCCGGACAGCAGTGGGAGTCGTCAGCAACACCTGATATGGTCCCGGGGATGGTGCCAATGCTTTCTTTGTAAATCCTTGATCACGACCCACTGTCCAGGCTGGATGGTGTGAAGTTGTGTTGTTGCAGGATCAGGGAGGGCCGCTTTAACCTTAGGGAAAATATGCTTCAAAGCACGGTTGAGTGCGCAACAATAGCTTACCATGTCATCATCCATCCCTGCCAATGTAAGCCTGTTTTGAGGAAAAGGGGTGTTACTCATCCGCATGGGACGCCCTGTTAGAATCTCATAAGGGGAGAGACCAGTTGTCTTATGTGGCCGGCCTCTCATGAACATTAATGCGAGAGGTAACACCTCAACCCATGATAGATTAGTTTCAGTCATTAGTTTTGTTAGTTTTGTTTTTAACGTCTGGTTAGCCCTTCCACTGCACCTCCACTTGCTGGGTGATAAGCACAGTGTGTTTTTAAGTTGATCCGAAGGCTTTCTGAAAGGCTTTGAATGACATTATTTACAAAATGAGAACCATTATCACTTGTCATTTTTGATGGGAGCCCCCATCGTGGAATGACTTCTCTCAACAGTGATTTCGCAACTGAGACAGCAGTTGCATGCCTACATGGGAAACATTCGATCCAACGTGAGAACATGTCAACAATCACAAGGCAATACCTGTATCCTTTGCATGGAGAATGATCAATAAAATCCATCATCAAATGTTCAAAAGGACCTTCAGATTTAGGGTGGGCTGAGAGAGGCATTTGTACACCTCTGCCAACATTGTTAGTAGCACAAATTACACATTTTTTACAAAAATTTTCAGCAAAAATTTAAAAACCTGGTGCATACCACAACCTATTTACAATAGCCATCATCCCTCCTTTTGACACATGGTCAGGACCATGTGTCAATTTGGCCAAGAAGGGAAAAATGGACTTTGGGAGTACTGGGAGGCCGTCTGCGTTTACCCAGACTCCAGAGAAAAGTTTTGTGCACCCTTTCCTCTGCCATAATGCTGTTTCCCCAGCATCAACTCCTGTTTGAAGCAAGGAGACATCATTAAGGGAAAAAAGATAATTTTGTACAGAGAGGGCATCTGCAAAATGGGGGAGACAAGAGACAGAGCAGCTGCTTTTGCAGCAGCATCAGCTGTTGCATTTCCTTTTGACACTGGGTCGTTAGCACCTGTATGGGCCTGATATTTGCATACGGCAACAGAAGTAGGTAACAGTAATGCAGACAAAAGATTCATGATTAGAGTTCTGTGGGCAATAGGTTTACCTGTGGAAGTAAGAAACCCATTGTGACACACATTGAATGCATGCTGAGAGTCAGTATAAACTGCAATGTCTTGTCCTTTTCCTAAGATGAAAGCACAGGTCAATGCAAATAGTTCAGCTGCCTGTGCCGACAGATTATTTGGAAGTTTGGCACTTTCAATTATACCGTATGCTGTGCATATGGCATAAGATACGCAGGGGGTACCATCACACGGATTTCTCCTAGCCGAACCATCTACAAAGAAAACCGCTTCAATAGCAGCTGCTACAGCTCTTAAGCATGCTACCCTTGCCCTTTCAGTAATGGACAAGCGTTTTGAGTAGTAACCTATTGGTCACCATGTGATTGAGTGAGGACTGCTGACATAAAACCATTACATTTGGACACAAAAAGATTGAAAGATTTAGTTGAGTCAGGGAGTCCTAGGCAAGGGGAACTAGACAGAGCTTGCTTTAAGTCAGTGAAAGCTTTTTCTGCCTCAGGGGTCCAAGTCAAATAGTCAGTCATGGCCAGGTTTTTACCCCCGTGTGTGATGTCGTAAAGGGTGTGGGAGATCTATCGCAAAATTTGTTATCCATGGACGGCAATAGCTTGCTAAACCTAAAAAAGGCATCATCTGTTTTTTAGTTTGCGGTTTTGGAACATTCAGAATTGCCTGAATGCGTTCAGGGCCCAATCACCAATCTTCTTGGTGAAAACCAGGGGTGGGACACTGACATGATGTGTTCCCATAGCCTCCGCATCTGTTGCACCTTATTGTGTTTCGGCTTGTGTTTTTGTAGTCTCCTTGATATTCGGAATGTGGTCTCAGGGTCCTTCTTCTTCCAGCGCCTCGCCCTCTATTGTTATTTTGATGGGACTGCCACCTCTGTCCGGGGTTCTGTGATGCACCCTGCTGGTAGAACATTAACTGAGCAGTTTGGAGATGTTTCTTTTGTTTATAGTCCATATCTACCTTGTGTCTTTCGGCGTGCAAGACGTGCGTCAAAACAGTTGTTATAGGTGCGCTTTCCCAGCCGACACATTTAGTCATGACTCGGGTCTTCAGGCCAGGGTGGAGACCATTTACCAAAGCAATCTTTAGCAGGTCGGAGTATGCGTCATTGTCGGGGTCGATGCCAGAGTTAACTGCAAAAACAGCTTCCATGCGGACACGGTAGTCTGCAGCTGACTCCTCTTCCTTTTGTTTAGTGTTGTGGATCTCAGGCCAACAGACTCTTGGGGGGAAAGCCATTCGCACTGCGTCATACAAGGTGTCCATCATGGCACCAAACTGAGTTGATCCCACTGATGGTGCTGTGGAACAGGTGACAGGTTGAATGTTGGCCCATCAGAGCTTGAAACACTTCCGACACACAGCTTCCACTTCCTGTAAAGTTGGATTATACATGGACAACAATTGCTTCATTGATGTAACCCATTTCTCACCACCAGTTTTCTGAGGATTAGGCAGTTCTTCTGCAATTTCTCTTCCCAAACACTTCCGGATCGCAGGGGGCGTGTTCCTGCTCTCCCGTTGGTCGAGGCTGGGGATTTGGAAATGTCAACATAGGCAGTAGCTGTGCATCCCTTTCTTGTACTTGGCTCCTGAGCCAGTAGTCAGAAGATGCTGCGACTGGAGATGAAAGTTTCTTGGGAAGAAAACAGTTAGTTTGGGTGTTCTTCCCATATTGTCTTTGTTCAGTTACTGTTGTGTTGGGTGGGGGAAAAATTGACAGGTCCGGGTACAGTGCTTGTTCCCTCCCCCGTATTTCAGCCTTTTCCTGGGTCTGTTCAGCAGAGGGGGCAGTACTTGCATGTGGATGAGTGGTTTCTGGTGTTACCAGGATGGGTGGCTTAGAGACAACATATGGTGGTGGTTTCTTCTCATAATTTAAAACTGCATCCCTTGTCTGTTGTTTTAGCAGTAACCCTGCCCTTGATTTTGCTTCCCTCAAGTGTGCTTCCTTTTCCCATTTCTCAAAAGCTTGCCAATCAGTCTTTTTCTTTCCTATTTTCTTTGCTTTGTCAACATAATTCTGCATCTCCCTAAACAATCTGTATTCAGTGTCCCTAGGATAGGAAAAATGCCTTCAGTTACATCATGCCAAAAAGGAACATCAACAACCACACTTTTCCCCCATTTCTCTACCATTATTTTAGCTGGACCTGAAAGAGTGTCAGGCAAAGAATTAAGTTTTTCCCTGATTTGTTCCCCATATTTTTCTACACACTGAACAGATTTGCTTTTACTTGCAATGGGTTTTATCATTCACACAATGTTAAACGAAACTACGGTAATTATGATCATGCAAACACACATGAGCCAGAGTTTGATCCAGGCCACTGCAGCAAGGACAGCCTAAAACGAAGGGTTTTTTTTTTTTTTAGAATACACACTTTAACAATTGTGCATGCAGTGTAACAGTGTGCACAGATATCAGAAACACCTTAGAGTAGAGCAAAATACACTGCAGTAAGTAACAGCTGTGTGTAGCACATATTTGGCTTTTGCTGAGACTTCCACAGAGTTTAATTCCACTGTTGGTGGAACCCTAATCTTTAGGGTGTACTTCTTTGCTGTATAATGCAGGTTTCATGTCTGCCCTTCAGAACACCCTCTGCATGTAGAAGAGGTTTTCTTTTGTGTCATGCGATGAAACAATTGCCTGTTTATCAACCAGTTGAGTCTCCACCAACACCTGAGAAATATATATCTGGCTGGTTTAGACGACCTGCATCATAATGGTTACAATAACCACTTGGTTAAAAATATGGAATAGCCATTGCCATGGTTAAAAGAAACCAACATTGACTGTCGGTTCCCCGACCTTTTCCCTAATTTCTGGTTCTATAACACATCGCACCACTTTCTTCTTTGCTCATGAGAATAGACACATAATTTGCTGAAACAACTGATGCTGTTGTTTTTCTTAGATAGGACAGTCTCAGTGTGACGGAAGCCAGCGAGGCTGTGCAGTGAGTATACCTCACTCCCCGACACCTTAAGAGATGCACTGGCGACTGACGCTAGTGCCCATGGGTTTTAGCCTCCTCGTCAGCGTGTCCGCCTCCTGTACGTTCAGTACGTTCTCGGGGGCAGCCGGTTACATCAGCACAATAATCTTGTGTGGACCTCATCTCAAAATGAGTGTTAGACACTAACATCTAAGAAAAAGCCAAATTACATCTAGACGTGCTGGGTAAAAGGACCTGCTGTACACTTCTTGGAAACATTTGCCAAAGTGACAGTCACAAGTGACCTGCACTCAAACTATGTCTGAGAGGTGAAAAGTCTGAAGAAATTGTCTCGGGTTACGTATGTAACCCTGGTTCCCCGAGAAGGGGAACGAGACACTGCGTCGGTTACGACACTATGGGAACGCCTCTAGGCGAAGCAGGTCTGAACGTGAATGAAATCACTCCAATCCTATTGGCTTGTTGCTAGAACGGTAAGGTGTGACGGAATAACCGGAGGAATATAAAGCACACCTGTACACACTCATCATTAGCTTAAACTATGAAGCAGGCGCTTCAGGCGGGGAGAGAGGTGCGGCGGGCCGACGCAGTGTCTCGTTCCCCTTCTCGGGGAACCAGGGTTACATACGTAACCCGAGACGTTCCCCTTCGAGGGAACTCGAACTGCGTCGGTTACGACACTATGGGAACGAGATACCCACTAAACCGTGCCGAAAACCCCGTCTGCCCCTGTGTGCAATAAAGTGGCACGACTAAGAGGAGAGCGCACGAGTGCCAGGTGCCGAAGGAAGGTCAAGACTGTAAAACCGAATGAATGTGTGCGGAGTGGCCCAGCCAGCCGCTAAACAAACATCCTGCAAAGAGGCCCCGGAAAGGAGGGCTCGAGAGGCCGCCATGCCTCTGGTAGAATGAGCCCTCACAGCCACAGGTGAAGGCAAACCGCGCACCTGATAGGCCAGGGAAATAGTCTGAACAATCCAGTTGCTAATAGTATGTTTGGATGCAGGGAGCCCAGCCCTGGGAGTCCCAAAACACACTAGCAGCTGGTCAGCCTTCCTCCAACGGGAGGACCTCAGAGTGTAAATACTCAGTGCTCTGACAGGGCAGAGCAGATGAAGTCTCCCGTCCTCCGCCGTCACATGAGGTGGAGGATGAAATGCCTGCAGCACTGTGGACCCTGCCGCACAAGAAGGCACTTTAGGGATGTATCGTGGACGAGGGTGCAGGATAGCCCTAATATTCCCCGGGGCAAACTCCAGGCTTTGCGGGGAAACCGAAAGCGCTTGGAGATCCCCCACCCTCCTCAGAGAGGTGATAGCAAGGAGAAAGGCCATCTTGAGGGTCAAGTGCGTAGCCTCAGCTGACTCCAGGGGTTCGAAGGGGGCCTCAGCCAACGCCCCAAGAACCACCGCCAGATCCCAAGTGGGAACCTTGGACCGAGTCGCAGGTCTCATCCTCCGGGCACCACGGAGGAAACGTACAACCAAGGGAAGTTTCCCCAAGGACCCCTCCCTCAGAGGGGTGTGGAAAGATGAAATAGCTGCCACGTACACCTTGAGGGTGGAAGGGGAAAGACCAGCAGAGAACCGGTCCTGGAGGAACTCAAGTACCTGAACCACCGGGCAGGTAACAGGGTCCACCGACCGCTCCCTACACCAAGTGGAGAAAACGCTTCACTCCAGTGCTGCATCCATACACTTAGTGAATGTGCGAGGGGAAAGTGCCAGGCCGAATGGAAGAACCCGATACTGGTAAGCCACACCCCCGAAGGCGAACCTCAGGAACTTCCTGTGAGAAGGACGGATGGAGACGTGGAAATAGGCGTCCTTTAGATCTATCGTGACGAACCAATCCTCAGATTGGATGTGCGTCACGATGGCCGGGATGATGAGCATCTTGAACCTGAATCTCCTCAGAGACCGGTTAGAACCCGCAGATCCAAAATAGGGCGCAGCCCTCCGTCCTTCTTGGGGACTATGAAGTACTGGCTGTAGAACCGGCGTCTCTGTCTGGGGGGGAGACACGTTCCACGGCCCCTTTCCTCAGCAGAGTACGAACTTCCTGTCCCAACACCGGACCTTGCTCTGGGCGGACCACAGTCCAAACCACCCCGTTAAATTTTGGAGGGCGGGTTTTGAACTGTAGTCGAAACCCATGTATGGCAGTGCGCAGGACCCACGGAGAAATGTTCGTCAGGCTCCGCCAAGCCTCTGCAAAGTCTGCCAACGGAACCAACCCCTCGGGGCTGGTGGTCGGTGTCTCGTGTGATCTTCTGGTGGACCCCTGAAGCCCCATAACGGCAGGGGAGAGCCGCCAAAGATCCACGGTGAGTGAGTCTGAATGCCGCCTGACTGCAGACCCTCGGGGCAGGCAGTACGGCGTGGACTCGATGGTGGCAGGTGCGTCCTGAACGTGTAAACGGCGGGATAACATCACCCGTTGCCACGGCGGAGGGGACCTCGATCAGCCTTCGGGGGGGGGGGGGGGTGCGGGAGGGGAGAAAGACTCCCCTACCCCGGTCTTCCCTCAGCTCCGTCGGGACTGGGTGACAGTCCTCAGATCGCGTCTCTCCCCCCTCTGAACCATCTCCTGTAGCAGGTCGGCTTGGTAGGCTTGAAGCACCGCCATGGTGTGCAAGCTCGCACCTGCCTGGCCCGCTGCCATGTACGCCTTCCCCACGAGCGTAGATGTGGTGCGACATGG